CGAGCTCGCTTGCATCTCTTGTTTCTCAAATGCTCACTTGACTTCTTCACTAACTCTTTCTGAAACAAACGACTAATTGATACTTCTGTTGAAGCTAATCCACCACAATCACCTATCTCGCCTTTTTTGGTCTTCAAATTCAGATTTTTCGATATTCTACGCGTCCTACATCATTTGAATTTTGCAGGAAATCCTCCTCCCAACTTCTGAAGCACTTGACATAATGAAAGTACCTTAGGAGATACATCATCAATTCTGTTACTTGCATTAAAAGTTTCTTCATAACCGTAAAACTTTGAAACTGATTTCAACCACCAGTCTCTGTATCTTGCGGTAACAGAAGTTGTCGCGAGGCGAGAAGGCATGTATAGGTTTAAACCATAAAGAGACTTGTTGTAATCATCCCATGCTTCCTTTTCTGTGAAGTCACTATGATGAGTAACCAAACCAGGAAGATCTTGAGCTAAACCGAGTTGCATCGCCACTCGATTCGGATAGTAATCCTCTACAAAACCAATCCCAACAAGCTGAGAACTCCTAACACATCGAGCGAACGCAATAAACTCATCATAAATACTGTTATCAATTGTTACCCACATAGCATCTTCAACGTAAACCAGACGAGGACTCCAATTCTTTAAAGGTTTAGTATAAGGACGCCAATCGAAATCATCGAGATTCAATCTCACTTTCTTGGATTTCTTTTGCAAACCGCCCCATCGAGAAATTCTTGGTTCACCTATAGGTATCTCTTTAGCCTTTGGTCTAATGTTCTTGAATCTCTCCCATGCCCAAACTTGGACTAACTTAAACAGAGACTTGAGATTAGCATTTCGAGTAGACTTATCGCGAATTTGATCTAGATCTCTATATAAACTTGCAAGAACAGAAGTAGCAAGAACAATCCTTTCGCCTCTGGCTAAACGAACAGCGATAGGAAGAACATTTTTAGAAACAGAGCGACGAGACTTATCTGGAAATACGAAATGCGAAAGCCACAATGCAAGAAATGCTTCATGCTCCATATGATCATCTCTGTTTCTAAAGACCAAACTCCATCTTTCTTGGATCACACGACAACTCGTGTCCATATTCCTTTGTCTAACTCTCTCTAGCTTCTCCACAGAATCTCTCATCTTCGAGCTCTCTAATGGATCGAAAACCGAAGAACCCAAAACCGAAAACCCTAGAAGCAACATTACATCTTCAAGCGTTATCGTTGCTTCACCCCAAGGGAAAACGAAAGATTTGGTTTCAGGACACCATTTCTCAACAAGGGCTAAAACCAAAGACTCGTTTTTAAGGATTTTGTATGTTGATGCTTTGATTGCTTCAAAAATCCCAGCTTTTCTCCAAATGGGTTCATGTAAAGTTTCCATTTTTAAAGCCCAAGATTTGAAATCATCGTTTGCAGACCAAAACCCATTAAAGGAAATCTCTGAAACTGAGTCCTTTATATCTGATAAAGAAGAAACAGAGTGAAGAAGTCGACGTCGTCGAAGAGGAAGCTCTGCTACAAAACCACCATCAATGGAAGTTACATAAGGTTTTAGAAAATGGGTTTTGATCAAAGTAGGATCTTTCTCAGTGGTGACACCATGAGTTCTTCTCTCTCTTCAATGAGATCTAAAGCGAGTGATGAAGATTCATTCTCCATCTGAAGAAGTAAACCAAAAGTTTCAAAATTTATCAACGGTTACTCAAAAAAAAAAAGAAACAAAAATCTAAAATTTGTTTGAAAATTATTGATTTTGAGAAAGTCACGACGGAGAAAAGAGGAGACTTACCGGAAAATTTTGCTTAGATTTGTAATGGAAGAAGCAAATTTTTTATTTCAAGTTTACACGAGAGAGAGAGAGAGAATGTGGACGGAAACCGTTCTTTAACACAACCTTTCGTACTAAATAAAGTTGAAATAGTGACTGTAAATTTTTTTTTTTTTTGATTTATGAAAGAAAATCTTTCACGCCAACAGATTAATATTTTGTTTCAATTTTTTTTCATTTAATAGAAAACAGTTTTTTTTTTTTTTTCGAAATTTAGAACTTTTCAAAATATAAGGTAAATGGTAATAATGTAACGTTCATTTATCTGTTACGGTAGCGAAATTCTTTCACATCAGGACACTAGACATTTTCTTTTCTAAAAGTTCATTTCAAATGGGAGTTTAATATTATGGAAAATTCAGAGATTGGTAAAGAATTAATCATTTTTGGATGAACTTTCCAGGTAGCATTATAATTTTTTTTTATCTATTTATTTAAATTGGATGATCAATTAATCTAACATTATGGATCACAGAAATTGGAAGCTTGGACATGAAAACCAAGTTGGAACACT